CTCATTGGCAGCCCATGACTTACCAGTATACCACTGCTTCAGTGTGAAAGTAACATCTTATATATACCATCCAACTTCCAAATATACTTTTACAGTACAACCTAAACGCACTGAGAGTTGCAACTTTAGAAAGGAAAAAAAAATTCAGTGCTTCACACAAGTAACATTTATAATTGTGCATAAATTCAACTTAGTGCACCTTTGTGCATATACGCCTATCTATCAAGTAAAACTTTGCATCATATGCCTTCTGTCAGTGTCCGTTTGGCATATCTATCCATAGTATACATGTAATTTACTTAACTTTAGGTGATGTCACCAGATTTGCCAGAATGCGCTAAAAAGGAGATCGGTAAACAGCAATCTGGTTTTACATGGAGAATAATTCGGCATGTGATAGATCATTTCAAAAAAAAACTCTTCAAGATTGTTAGTAGTAGCAATCTGAAGAAAATGATTGAAAAACTTGCGCAATATTACTTACATATAAAAATATGGAAAATTATATAAAAGAGAAAAAAATGGAACACAAAGAGTAGGTAACAAAAAAAATTTGTACACTGAAAACCTATGTTATCCAGGTACTTCTATCAAAAGATGTAACCGTACCCAACACGTATCTGTACCTGACACGTACCCATACGGAATCCTCTCAGACACTTCTTGAACATATGGATATGTTTATTCAGGTGTATACTCAATTGTATAATGTAAGTTTTAATTTAAAACACTCGTCACTCTTCTTGGATGTATATATTGATCTTATGTAATTGAAAAAACAATGTTGATCTTATGTAACTTATTAGTTTTAATACATGTGCATATACATAACATACATAAATATAATCGTGCCCTTGTACCCTACCTTTCACTAATTTGTCATGTCCCATGCCCGTACCCCATACCCATGCAACTAAGCAGCAAACGCTTTTATTTCATTAAATAGCAAAAGAAGAGCAAGGAAGTATGCATGCAGGAATACGATATGTACAACTAATCAATCCAGCAGAACAAAGATAGTTGTTACTAGTTACCAAGATTTCACAGTTGTTGGTGGGCCATCTATATGGACGATCCATGCAAGAATAATGCCACCAGTAAGTTTTGAGGAAAATCTCCTAAGTATTAAATTACATTGAATCTTTACTGGAAATCTACATGTTTATACTTCCATTTATTCCTAAAGCAAAAGATCTTAAATGTTCTACAGGTCTTCTGTAATTAACCCTAGCTTGAAAGATGAATAGTTTGAAATAGAAAGAGATATATTGAGAGTATACTATGCCTCTAAAGCAACTAAACCTACTAAATTGAAGTTTATATTTGCTTCTATCTGTCCAGAACATGATGTATGTTTTAATATACATTGCACACCTTCGTTTTTGATAAATTAAATTAAACTGCCTATTAAGAGTCTATAATTTAGAAATGCAACCTGTCATATAGTGTGCAGATACCTGCTTAAGGCTTCACCCCATAATTGGCTCAACTTTGCTGCACATTTTGTGATTGCAGTTCTGTCTACTTGATCAATGCTGTCTAGGCATGCTGCTTGTTGTAGAGCATACAAGAACTCCATCCGAGTCTTGCTAGACATAACAAGGTGTCCAGGTTCACAAGCACCACTTAAATTCACCACCTAGATTGCAGGAATTAATCAAGTTGAGTGAAAATTAATCTAATAATCTATTTAATATGTAAAAGCCAGTAAATGGAAAAGGAAAATGAATAAAGAGATGTCTAAGGGGTAGCTGAGATTCTTAGCAAAAAACAATGCATCATTAATACTATTATCAGGACTATGGTACAGGAATAACTACCAGATAAACCATCTCATTTTCGGTAAAGCCACAGGGGGCTATAAATCTGACTCAGATGAATTAATTGATATGCAATCAGGGCACGATGGTTCAACTGCAATGATGAATCGTTGTTGGCATAATCAAGGAGACTAGACCTTCTAATCGAGATAGATCAATTGGCATTCAATAAAGATATTGAGGGCCTTACTGACATGTTGTTGATCACTTTTGATCTTGTTTTCGATATATCCGTTGTTTTTATTTTTTCGGTTGGAACATCATTTCTTATAGCTATCTTGAGAAACTGAATGGTATACATCATAGGGATCATCATTTAATGTTGTTGTCGAGGATCTCTTGTCACGCCCGGGGCCCATGGGCCCGTTGGCACATGTAAGTCGTGGGACCCACAGAGAGCAACTCAAAGTTGGCTAACATCTACTTGCCAAAATGCTAACACTTAGTTTTTCTTGGGCCTTGGGATTTTCTCTATTTAAACCACTAACATTTTTTCACACTAGTCCATGTGGGACTAAAGTGGGGGTGTCACAATCACCACACCTTACAAATACGACGTCAACGTCGTCACGACATGACAATTGGCACATCCCAATGTCACTATCAGGCGATGTGGACTCTAAATGTGACTCCCACGGGCTCTAGAGGTGGCTCCCACCGCATCCACGCGGTGTAGCACTTAGCCCCATATAGCACTTAGCTCTATACTTCCGGCTAACAACTGCTCTGATACTATTTTGTCACGCCCACGGGTTCGTTGGCGCATGCAAGCCGTGGGACCCACGAACAGCAACTCGAAGTTAGCTAACATCTACTTGCCAAAATGCTAGCATTAGTTGTTCTTGGGCCTTGGACTTTTCTCTATTTAAACCACTAACATTTCTTTACACTAATCCATGTGGGACTAAAGTGAGGGTGTCATATGTCTTGCTTCTACCTATTCTCGTCCATGATATTAGGTTTTTTTTTCTTTTTATTTGAGGGGTTATGTTTGATGAGAGTTGTCATATTTATACTTGCATCCCTCCATTCTGGAGTTTGTTTCATTAATTTCTTTTTAATGAAATGGTGGGGGGCTATGCTTCACAGTTATTTCGCAGAAAAAAAAAACATGCAATTCCAAATGTAGTCAATGAGGGGGAAAGCAAATATATCATCAGTTCCATGCAAAGAAGTTATTCAGACCCTTCTAAGTTGAATCTATAATCATAACGGTGAAATATTCTAGGCATCTAAACAAGCAATATAGGTTGTATTCGAACTGCAAAGGTGATAGGTGGCTGATGCAAAAAGACGAAGGTGAAAGAATTAAAAAAAAAAGGAAAACTTCAGCTTACGACGGACTAGAGCTTACCTGTAGAAACCATGGAATTACGAAGTCGATGAATCTTTGGTTCAGGAAATGTTTAGTCAGAATACTAATAACTGCACTAGCTGTCTCACAAGATAACCTTTCCAGCACGGGTCCAGTTTTATCCATAAGCTCAATCAAACAAAGATCATCACCAATACACAATGTCTCTGCATAAGCTGACTCCATGTCCCCAGAATGTAAGAACTCCTTGATATGTTTCCAGAAGCCACTCATACCTTCCATTTTACCCAGCTTGGTACTGGCACTGCAATCTGAAACTGAAAGCATATCTTTAGTCCCTCTTGTTTGACTGCTTGCTTGGTTCTGAGCACTTCTTCCTGATTCTTTATGGAGAGCATTGTTTCTAACTATGTTAAGTGTTGGATCTCTCCATCGCTCCATACCATCTTTGACTGAAGTACTCAATCTATTTTTTGAAGATGCATCAACACCCCAAACCTCTTTGTTACTCAAGGACGATAGTGAAGGCTGCCTGTAGTTAGACTCCACAGATTGCCTAGGAGTGCTGGTGGAGAGCCTAGGTGAAGAACAGACACTTTGATTTTGCTTCGTAAGTCTAGAATTAGCCATGTTAGAGTAATTTCCATTCTGGGAAATGCTTTTTCCTATTTTAACTACAACATGTTCCAGGTTATGCACCTTCAACTGTAATGATGACAGGTTATCTACTGAGTTCCCCATAAAGACCTGAATGTGTAATCAATAATTAAACAAGCAACAAAGGTAGCATCAATAATGATAGCAAGATTTTCAATTAAAAAATGTACAAACTTCCAGAAAGTAGGAATGTAAACAGCTCATGACATAAGTTTGAGAAAATTCATCAATTGTTTGTGACATTTGTTAGAGTTCCAGAAATAGACTTTACATAACTTATAGTTTTAGACAATAAGAGACAATTGTGCAACTACAAAGAGTCCAAAGTAATCCAAAAGTGTTCAGTACTTCGTACAGTACTGGTAGGTTTGTAGTCTATATGTTTTTCAGAAGCACCTACCACACATTAACTTCAAAATCTTTGGAAGATTTCGACATACAGAATCTTGGATAACCAAAGAGAAAAGAGACAAAAGGTCTAACCTAAAGCCCTTACAGTTTAAGGAGAACTTTTATACTATGCTCTAACCATCTGCAGAGTCAAAAAGAAAAAGAAGGAACTTCAGGAGGTTGAAAGACAATCTAAGCCACTGTATGTATACTCAGTGAATCAGCATGTAATGGCAGAAGACTTGAAGATTTGCAATAAAAGCCCAGAGGATTTGAAAGGAGAGTTGAGGAGTGTTCTTAGAAAGATGCACTTAGTAACTAAGATAAAACTTTTGCTACTCTGCTATACTAAGAAAACTTTTGCTACTCTGCTATACTAAGAAAAATTTTGCTACTCTGCTATACTAAGAAGTGTTACTGACATGTAACAAATTAGCAGGAACTGCATAACAAATCTGAAGTAAGAAGAACTATATATGAACATAATATAAAGAAAAAAATCCTAATACTGACAAGACAAGTTTACATAAGAACTATGCAGTATTTTGACAATATCCATGGGCTTCTTATCTAATCAATATATCAAAATTAACTTAACTAGCAATTTAACAATTTCATGGAATTATTAAAAAACACTAATCCCAATTCCTCAGTAAGAGATTATCAATGATCATCGTGTCAACAATAAGTATCCCACTCATTTGGGTTTCAACAATCTCTTCCGAGTTTTTGTTTCTTTTCATCCTTTATAATGGCTAACCAAACATAATCAATCCAAACAAGTACCTGTAGGAGATCAAGTAAGTTTGACTGCTTGGTTTCAATCTCCAACAGTTGTTTCTTGATGAAAGCTAATTCACTTGCAGTATGCAAACAACATCCCTGCATACCAGCTGAACTTAGGTCTGTGACAGTGGAGTCTAAACTCTTACGCTCCTGCATTCTGGGGTCTTCAGAATCAGCATCTTCAACCACAGATCTGCGATCAAGCCTATTTAGAGTTGCAGGGCTCTCACTGACAGTTACGTGCTTGGTCTCAAAGCTCCCACTAACAAGATCTGACGTTGAGGAGCAGTCAATGTTATCATCTGCTGGGGCATAATCATATTTGTTGTCATGTAGCTTATTAGCATCTGCAGCTCTTTCCAAAGTCATTTCAGTGGAGTATCCTTCAAATTCTTTAAGGTGGTCCCCAACCGTAGACATGGCACGAACCTTTGGAAGTGATATATCAATATGCCAATCACTTGAGCTTGGATGGTGACTGTTATGTACATAATTTGAACAAGCTTTTTGAACGGTTAAAGGATTTCTTTTCTTCGATGTAAGGGTGGAAGTAGCACTAAGAGCAGAAACAGGACCAACTTTCCCACAAGATAGATCTCTCCATCCGCCATCACTAGCACTAGTAACATCAGAATAGTCTCCATTTTCTGTCACAAAAACGCTATTAACAATGAGCTCCACAATAATGTGTCAAATCAATTAAAGAACTGAAATCTAAGAATTGGGGAGAAAACCCTTCAAAAATCTGTGAACAACATCGATCATCAGTTGTCATTGTAGAGAAATAGAAAAAAGGCCAAGATCTATTATTCATCTAACCCTAACCTCTTTTAAATAGTGGTTAGGAGGATATTACAAAATAAATATAAGACAAAATCATATCCAATCATATCTCCCGAAATCTCATAATATATTCATTAACACCCCTCCTCAAGCTGAAGCATGTATATCATACATGTCCAGCTTGTTACAAATAAAGTGCGCACGCTATAATCTGTGACGATGCTTCAAAAAACTCAAACTAGCCTTGCTCTTCTAATCTTTCACTTGAATATCTTCAAATCAGCTGATCCCTTCTAGGGCACCACCGATCAAATTTTCCTTGAAGGATCCAATAACAAATGAACATTTCCAAAATCCAACAACAAATGATCCTTCTTTAAGGATTCAATAAATAAATGATCCTTCCTTGAAGGATCCAACATCAAATAATCCCTTTTTAAGGATCTGACAAACAATGATCTAAGGGGTGGAGTTGACTTTGGGCTCCATCAAAGATCAATGAGATCAATGAGGCACATGTCGAAAAGAGCAGATCAGAGCAGAATCAGCTCTGATCAGAGTGCACGGGTGAACAGTAATAAACGGGGAACAGTAATCCGCAAATATGAACAGTGCCCACATATGGATGAACAGTGACTCAATGAACATCACTTGATTACAATAGCGGTGTGTAGACACTAAAAAGTGCTAAGAAACGAAGGAGAGTCGAACCTCACTACAAGTATGACGAGGGTCGTCACAACGACGAACCTCGTCAGACGGACAAACCTCGTCTGGTAAACGAACCTCGTCAGTCGGACAAACCTCGTCTGGCAGACGAACCTCGTCAGACGGACAAACCTCGTCTGGCAAACGAACCTCGTCAGACGGACAAACCTCGTCTGGTAAACGAACCTCGTCAGGCGGACAAACCTCGTCTGGCAAACGAACCTCGTCAGACGGACAAACCTCGTCTGGCAAACGAACCTCGTCAAGCAGACGAACCTCGTCAAGCAGACAAACCTCGTCTGGTAAACGAACCTCGTCAGGCGGACAAACCTCGTCTGGTAAACGAACCTCGTCAGACGGACAAACCTCATCTGACAAACGAACCTCGTCAGGCGGACAAACTTCGTCTGGTAAATGAACTTCGTCAGGCATTGTTTCAAAGGGCTACATTAAATGAGGGTTAATAACCAATAATTCATCCCTTTAAGGAGAGTTAATGACCACTAACTCATCCATTTAAATGGGAGTTAATGATCATTAACTCCCTCATTTAAAGAGAGTTAAAGCCCATTAACTCACTTCATAATACTCCCAAGCCTATAAATAGGCATGATCAACATGAAAGAAAGGGGGGATGAAGAGACTTGTGGAAAAAGCCTATCTCTCCTCCACTCTCATGGATCTTCATAGATCATTGGCTAATCATTTGGCCTTAGAACGTTAAAGCTCATAACGAGCATGACGAGGGTCATTACAATGATGAACCTCGTCTCAAACAACAAAGTTTATCGTTGGAAACAAGATGTGAAGCTCGTCATTGGAAACGAGGTTCGAATCTCATCATTGGAAATGAGACTTGACATCAAAGACGAAGCTCGTCATTGGAAACGAGGTTCGAAGCTCGTCATTGGATAGGATGTTCGGAGTTCATCATCGGAGGTGAAGTTCGTCAATGAAAACAAAGCTTGTCATCAGATTTAAATCTCGTCAGTGAAGATGAAGCTCATTATTAAAGAAGCTCACAAGGCTCACCACGCAGCGAGAATCGACATCAATGACGAGGCTCACCACGCAGTGAGGCTCGACATTAAGGATGAGGTTCGCCAACACAATGAAGTTCGTCACCCACATTAAATCAGGTTGTAACGGCCAAAAAGACCCAGTCAGCCACATGGGCTAGATTCAAGGAGTCAGTTACGTCACGACTCCACAATTTTAGCGCATCATTTATGCCCACGACTCCATGATTGTAGTACGTCAGTTACGTGCACACACTCCTATAAATAGCCGCAAGCAGCTATGAAGAGGGTTGGCTAATTGAGACTTTTAATCATCAGAAATCAGAGCTTCTGCGTGTAAATCCGGAGTTCGAATTTCGGTTCCAGTCGGCTAACTAACGTGAGAAACTTCAGCAATCTTGTTCTGATCGTCAATGGGAGGCAATCTCGACTCAAGCATCGGGGGAAGCATCATTTCGCCACCAAGAACCTACGTTAAACAAGGAGGAGCTGAATTAATCTTCTCTTTATCTATAATCGAGAGAGAGTGTGTGAGTGATTGTAAGGGTTTCGTACCAAGTGATCGAACTCAGTTTTCTTAAAACAAGAGAATCAATCCCAGTCAATTTTTCGACCCTACACGGTGGACAGTAAAAAGATGCCAAAGCCGTTGAGAGGAAGCACAAAGCTTTTGGCAATAACCACATTAGCAGCTCAATATAGACAATGAAGAAAGAAGTCTCTCTGTGATCAAAAGGATGGCTCTGATACCATGTAGAGAAATAGAAAAAAGACCAAGATCTATTATTCTTCTAACCCTAACCTCTCTTAAATAGGGGTTAGGAGGATATTACAAACTACGTATGAGATAAAATCATATCTCCCAATATCTCATAACATATTCCTTAACAATCATGTAGTTGCAAGGAAAGTTAATTGATCTTAACTATGCAACAATACCTTAAACCTACTAGCACCTGTAATTGGCATTGCAAAAGTTGAACTCTCAAACTGGCAAAACATAGGGGGTGCTACAATTCCAATTCTGATTGCTGTGTAAACATGCCTTCTAATTTAGATGCATTTCATTGTGTTTCTTAATGACTGACTAAAAGGATAAAGCTCTCCAATTGCTTTTGAGCAAATCTGGAAGGTAAATTAAAAGGGGTTTATGGATGTCTCCCTATCTTCACCTGCACACAAGTTTTTGTTGGCAATTATTTTATGCACTGAACGTCCTTAATTTTTCTTATACTATATTTTGGCTACAGGTCAGGTTCAAGAAACATATGTACTAGTTATGATGGTTTTTAGGCTCTTCCTGTCAACATCTTGATCGACTTTTTGCGTTCTTCCCTTTATTCATTTCCCTTCACCATCCTTGTGCAACTTTTCTTTTTCCTTTTCTCCTTTCCACACATTAATTCATCTTCATCCTCTTACTTTCTTTTTCCTTGTCCTGTCTTTGTTTCATCTTTATAACCCTCTGAAGGAGGAAATTGACATGCTGTTCTCTGGTAAATAAGCGCTTACCTTAGTAGTTGTTAATGACATGAAATGTAATGTTTTCTTTGTCATACGAATTGCAAATATATAAGGATTTCCCTATAAGGATAAAGCTCTCCAAGCGCTTACCTTAGTATCGAGTTCTACATATCTGGAACATTGTATGACTAAAACAATCTGATTATATCTGATGCTTATGTAAGAATGTGACCCTTTTTCTTCAAGGTAACATAGAAATAATAAGGTGATGCATGCAATCTGAGCAGTTATCGGATATCTTATCAAGTGGGATAAACCATAAGCTGGAAACCTAAGCATTTAGAGTCTATAGACTATGCTTTTGAATTAGTTGACACAAAAAAATGTGTTTTTTCAATATCGGTCCCTTAAATCTCAATATTTGAAAGTAATCCCTCAAATCATTGCAATTGATATTACGTCCCTCAAGTCTTATTAGTTATTTCAAACTAGTCCCACCATTGCCTGTGCCATCTAAAATGCCTGCTTAGGTTGGATTAGTTATTAACCACATATGGTAAGTTACATTTCTACTCTCAATTAGTTGTTCCCCCTTTCAAATCGCAAGAAATTTAAAAACATGAGTTTAAAGAAATGGGTTTAAATGAGACTAAGAGCTCAGATATTTTGGATTTAACAGGTTTAAAAAGATGAATTTGGGTTTGGAGTTGACAGAGTAGTAGAACTGGAAACAATGAAAAAAGTTCAGTCAAGCACAATATAGCAAAGACTGCAGATAGCTTATTATGTGGTATAGCAAAGACATAACATACACAACTAGTAGCTGAATCAAGTGAAGTTAGTTGACACAACAATATCTGCAACAGAGAAAGCCATGCATTAGTTAGAGTGCTAATAAACCTTTTGTAGAGGATCCAGCTTCAGAAGGATCATGAGAGCCAGTTCCTGGAACAGTTTTCCAGCATTGCAAAGCATGCATGATAGTGTCTCTCACTGGTTTCACCTAGAGAGAGAGGGGAGAAAATTCACAAGTTGTAAAGATGGATATACAATAACAAAATACAGGTCATTTAGCTGACCTTGTCAAAACGGCAGCTTTCTAGGGAGAGAATGCAGGAAGTTCTACATGATCCCAATGAAGGTCCGACATGGACAGCAATACTTGCTAATGCTACTGAAGCAGCCTTACGCGTTGTCCAATCAGCACTTTTGAGTGTTTCCAGAATGCTGGTTACTACTGTAGAAAGAACATGTTCTGTTGAAGCACCTCCTGCCTGAAAGACAGATCATCTCATAAGAGAGAAAACAAGACGCGCGCGAGCGCACAGACAAACACGCGCGCACAGACAGAGAGAGGGGGAGAGGGAGGTAGAGAGAGAGGAGCTAGTATCCACTTACGCAGGAGATTTTGTTCAACCAACTTTTTTCACCGATAGACGGACTTGATAAATCAACATCTACCAAGCCTACATGCTCCCTCAGTAAAAGATGACAATGCATCTCCCATTAGATCTTGATCTATCCAGCACATCTACCGGTTAAAAGTTGGATGGACAAAATCACACACTGCACCACCACACACATTGCCCACAAACATCGCCGCCAACCACCACCAACTCGCGCCCCCCGCCCCCCCCCCCCAAAAAAAAAAAATACTCACACGCACTCCCACCCCCAGATGCACGCGCGCGCGCATAATGATGAGATAGTAATTAGTTGCATCTTTTATTCTGAAAAGGATATCCCTAGTCAACAAAAGTTGTTTGATCTAGATCCACCTATCTATCACCCGCCTACCAGAATGTCAAACGAAGGTCAAGCTAGCAAGCTATAATGATCAAGAGAAGCAAATGTTAAAGGTAAAGTTTCCTATGTATATGCATCAAACACAAACCTTAAAAGTCAAAAGAAATTGCTTTAAAAAATTAATGATTGTGTATAATTAAAAGTTGAGTCAAATGGGCATTATAGGCCAAGTAATGACAGAAATAACTAGGAAATTAGTAGGGAAATGTGCTCCAAACTATAGGGACCTAACATCCACTGAAAAAATTAATAGTAAACAATCATGTTAAGCATTACCATGTACTAAGCCATGAGTTGTCACACGTGGGTATTTTGATATTTTCATCGCTCTAATTTCTGTGCCTGTTACTATAAGGAGATAGGTTTTACAAGTAACCACCGAACCCTATATTCTCAAGTGGGCTACCTTGAACAGTAAACTGGGTTTTTGGGGACACGTGGACAGGGTTAATTTAAAGTTATTGATCTACTGAACTAGACTGATTTTGGTAAGAAAAAGAGGGAGTCACAATTAGCGTACTTCAAAGGTGAGGCACTAGTCAATTTAGTTAAAGCATTTGACAACGAAATGGATAAGAGAAGTCTTCTAATTTTAAAGACCTATTATTTCTACATCAGTAATGTCTCTCTTCTATGCAAAATCGTGAACAGGAGTTCCTCAAAATTTGAATTGCAAAAGATATCCTAACAAATGGGCAAGATCAATCTTAACTACCTATCACTAAAGAATAACAATTGGAAATAAACTAGAGATACATATCTCAGGAAAGTGTAAGCAAGAGCAAGATAATAAAGGGAACTAATAAAAATTAGCTGTGTCGTTCTAATCCTGTTATATCAAGGAAATATATATTAGTTCTTTATTTATCTTCCTTCCTGCATAGAAGTTTCCTACCGGCTACTTTACGTTATGCTTTTATTGAAAATATGAATGGATATAAATCACCATGTTTCCATGGTCCATACCATTGAAGCATAGAGTAGGCTGATCTGCAGAGGCGTAAATGTACTTTGAGGAAACGATGCAAATATGAATGTTTTGGTTTTGATGATCATGATGCGTAAATGTACTTTGAGGAAACACGATAAACCAATAGAAAGGGGGAGAAGATGCAACGGTACTCTCTCTGTATGAGAAGATAGTTTTCAAATCAACCTGAACAATGCTTCTGATGAGGTCGATAGCAGCCGGTTTGGCCATGAAGTGGGGGTTCTTTAACAACCTAATCACACGAGCGAGCATCTGCGGGAAGACCGACGTTGGGGGATCACTAGTGTCGTCAATTACCCTGGCCAAGCACGAGGCGGAACCAGCCTGCACGTATCTGCTCTGTTCACCTAGAGCTTCGAAAAGAGGCTTCAAAATTGCAACAAAGGCGGACTCAGCCCCTTGGGCAGAGCTGCGAGAGCTCATCACGGTTGCCGCCAAAACGCCAGCAGTTTCGACGCAGGCATCCCTGACAACTGAATCCGAATCCTTGAGACGCCTAACGATGCTCGCCAGTATTTTCCCAAGGTGCGGAGCCAAGAGAGGGCCATGGAAACGAGCCAAAGTGCCCGTGAGCCTGACACACTCCTTGCGGACCGCGCTCTTTTGTTCGGAACCGGTGTCGGTGATGCAGGCGAGGAAGGGAGCTACCCCCTCCGGGGCCAACCCCCGGGCTATCTTCTCGAGCTCGTCGGCGGCGATCTGGTGGGTGTCTCGGTCGGAGAGCTTGTTAAGGGAGAGGAGCACGCGCTGCTTGAGATCAAAAACGGCCTGCTGCGCCGACAGCTGCTTCGGCTTTGAGCTAAAAATCGCGGGATGGGGACGGGGCCTCATTAATTACTTTCTGATCGAGTGTGGTGTGGGGCCCCCCCTCCCTTCCTTCCTTTCCTGCCCCCTTACCTATTACTCTCTCCCTCCTCCTTCCCGTTCCCGTGCGAACGTAGACGAGGGTTTGGGTTCTCTTCGGCCTGCTGAAGTTCTGGGGTCTTTCGCTTAATTAGGTTTCTAAAAGGTCAGAGATTTGTCAACGGAGTCGATTCCGGAAGAGGCATTGCTAGCTAGCTGAGCGGATAGATTGAGAAATTACCTGATTGTTTGTTGAAGCTTGATGAGCTTGAGAGACAGAGAGAGAGCATCCGAGATCTCTGACAGGTGAAGGGGGGGGCTGCCCTCACCCAATCCAATCCAATCCAAACAAGAGAAGAAAACTGTGTTTTTTTTTTTTCAAAAAAAAAAAAAGAGGGGGGAGAGAGAGAGAGAGGGAGGAAACCCCAATAAATGAATGAATTCAAACCCGCTGGCTACTTTTCTCTTTCAAGTGGGAAAAAGCTGCTGCTCGTCTAATCGGGTTCGCTGCGGGTCTCTTTTTTCCCCCCCATTTTGGCGCTCTTTCCCATTCCTCCTTGTCCTTTTTTATATAGGATAGCGTTGCCGATTCAAATTTTATTCCTCCCCCGTCCAGATGGCAGCCACGTGGAGGATCGTGCGATGCTGTTTAAACTTTAGGATCTTGGAAAACAAACAAAGCTTTTGAATTTGAAAAAAACAAAGGTTAATTTCACGTATCTCCTTGACCTCTCGCACGATGCCCCCAAACTTCGAGGTCTCTCGCAAAGAAAGACATCTTCTAAATAATTTCATTCACATTTTTTAAAAAAAATCGATTCTTTTCTGTTTTTTTTTCTTCAAAAATCGACTCACTTTGCGATCACGTCAGCATCGTGGTCACAAAGTGAGTCGATTTTTTTTAAATGAATAGTCGGGGTTGTCAACCCCAACTATTTTGGACGCCTGTGTTAATTTACAAGCTAAATTAGTCAGGGTTCGAAACCCCGACTAATTTAGCACACATTTAAATTGGTCGGGGTTGGGAACCCCGACCAATTCGATTCTACACTTCCAAACTTCGCGGGTCTGATATCCATCGACCTCTCCGCGGCGCAGCTCCGAGCGCACAAAAACTCGATGGCCCTGGTCATTACCACAGATATCGTAACGTAGCACTGGTACACCGGGAACAACCGGTCAATGCTCCTCGCCAACTGCCTCTTCCGGATGGGCGACGCCGCAATTCTCCTCTCAAAGAAGCTATCAGATTCTGGCCGTGTGAAATGCCAGCTTGTCCACGTTGTCCGGACCAACCACGCTACCAACGACGAGGCCTACCGCTGCATCTACCAGGAAGAGGATGGTGAGAGCAACATCGGCGTTTCGCTCTCAAAAAAGCCGACGGCCATTGCGGGCGCCACCCTCAAGGAGAACATAACCACCATAGCTCCCCTAGTCCTCCCCCCTATCCGAACTCTTGAGATGGGCTGAATTTTCTAAAGGCTTTGAGCACTTCTGCATACACGTCGGACGGAGGGCGGCGATCGAGGAGCTGTCTAAGAAGCTGAAACTAACGGAGGAGCGGGTGGAGCCATCGAGGATGACGCTGCACCGGTTTGGGAACACGTCGTCGTTGCCGTAGTACGAGCTAAGCTACGTTGAGGCCAAAGGGAGGATGAAGAAGGGGGATAGAGTTTGGCAAATTGGGCTTGGGAGTGGGTTTAAATGCGCAGTCTGGAAGTATAGGAGGGCTGTGAACATGGGAGAGGATAATCATTGGGCTGATTGCATTGAGAAATAAAATAGTTAGGGTTTCGAATTGGTCAGGGTTCCCATCCCCGACCAATTTAAATGTGTGATTAAATTAGTCGGGGTTTCGAACCTGACTAATTTGGCTCTAAACAGTAGGCGACCTCCTAAATAGTCGGGGTTGGCAATCTCGACTATTTAGGAATGGAATTAAAAAAAACCGACCCACTTTTTCGTCACGATGCTGATGTGACGAGAAAATAGGTCGATTTTTGTAATAAAAACTCAATTGAGTCGTTTTTTAAAAAAAATTGTGAATGGGTTTATTTAGAAAATTTCTTTGTCTCGCAAAATCTCACCTGAATCTTTTCTCTTTGAATTACACTTACCCCTAATCTTTCATCATCCCACTCATTTTCAACCTTCGTTGTTTTTGCTTCTCTTCACATATGCCCTCCTTTATCCTCTTTCACATCCTCCCCTTCTTCCCTCTACCTTGGAATTTTTTTTTAAAATAAACAATTATTCAAATTTAACTAGCAAAATTGACCTGAGATTTGGTTAATTAGTAGAATCAGTCATTTTTAGCCATGTCAGCACGACTACATAAAAATTAATTGATATTATAAAATATAAAAATTGAAAATTATGAAACTATTAGTCCCGTGTAATTAGTATTCACTAATTATAATATTTTATGAATATGAGACTAGTTGTCCCATCTTTTTTTTCAAATCAATAGGACCATCATACCACCGCCACCACCCCTCATGCTTCAAACCCCACTTTGCCTCTTGCATCTATTTGGAACCAAAATCCAACCATCACACAGCTGTAATCCCTACACTAAGGGCTTGCTTGGTTGGTTTCCAAAATTTTTGGAAATGAACATTCCTTTTAAAAACTCTATTTTCATATCTTTCTTAGCTTTTCTAAGAACTACTTTTATTTAGTTTGTTTGGCATGGAAAAGAGGATTAGAAATATACTCATCAATTTACTTGTTTGGTTTTCAATGTATTTGACACAACAAGAGACTAGTTTCTTGTGTTTGTTTGGGCTTGAAACATACCTGGAAACAACTTGTACTCACCCCCTGTAAGATGACCACCCATATAAGACAAAAAAATCCACCATTGTTGTGGTGAAAATACCAATCACATATGTTTTTTTTCAAACAACCCAACAGTCAAATTCCAACAGTTAGGTGAGCTACCAAACCCAATATATAATATGCACAAAGTCAAGTTACAAACTCATCAGAATGTCATTCATCCCTTGATTCCTATTTTGATTTCGTGAGATGAATACATCCGAAGGGTCTCAAGCACTAGAGGAGTTTTGTCGTATTTGCAAATTTTTAACACCACTCAAGATGTGTAAAAATAGGAGGAACAAAGGTAGATATTTCTTGGGATGTGCAAAGTCCCAAATAAGCAATGCAATTTTTTTGCTTGGGCTCACAATGGTAATGCGATGAAGAAGAACATTCTAGTGATTGAAGAATTTCCTATTGAAGAGGAGATAGCAGCCAAAACAAAACAACTAAAGAAAGCTTTGAAGCAATCGAACTGTGAAGTCGAACTATGAAAAATTTGTTTATTCTTTCTATGTTTATTTTGTATGGTTCTAATTTTATTAAGGTTTTTTAAAAGTTCCTTTTTGCTAAATAATTAGCAAAATCGACCATTTTGCTAAGATTTTAATAAACATTTTGCTGAAAACGGGACTAGTAGTCCTGTATGTTTTCAATTCACTAATCGGGGATTAGCAATTATCGAAAATATACGGGGCTACCATATGTTTTCGATAATTACTTATCCCCGATTAGTGAACTGAAAACATACGGGACTACTAGTCTCGTATGTTTTCAGCAACACGTTTTTTAAAATCGACCTATTTTTGACATGTTGGCAAAAAAGAGGTCGATTTTGCTTGCTAATTATTTAGCAAAAAAAGTCTTTTTTAAAAAAAACCTTCTATAAATATTCAGAAAATAGTGCCTTTCATTCTTTTTGTTTTATTTTCTACTGAGACGTTATCAATCATTTTCCACCTTTATCTTTTTTGATAAAATCAGACTACTTTTAAATGCAGAAAAATGATAGTAAAACCTTAAATTAAAAGTTAATTTTACATATCTTAAGGAAAGAATATCGAACAACTACTCTTTGTTTGCTAAGTTCTAAATTTTTAGTCGCTTTTTCATGATTTTGAATTTTTATGGGTGTGTTTTGCAATTTTTGAAATTTTGAGAGTATTTTTAAAAAATTTAATTTTAAGTTGGGTGCTTGTAATCTTTATATTTTATGTGGTGGTAGTAAGTTTTCGAATGTCAGAATATTTATTACAACTTTGAATTTTGAGGGTATTTTTTACAATGATTGAAACTTTGAATTGTTTGTTGCAAAATTTAAATTTTTAGTGGTCTGCTGATAATTTTGAAATTTGATATGTACTGGTTATAAGTTTTTAAATTTTAGGGTTTTTAGTCTTTTTTAATTTTTGAAAGAGTTTTTTATAATTTTTAACTTTGAGGTTATTTTTTACAAATTTGAATTTTTTAGTGCCTGATGGTAATTCCTTAAATTCATCTTTGTTGTTTGTAAGTTTTGAAATTTCAGAATTTTATAGTGTTTTTTTATTATTTAAACTTTTAAGAGTGTTTTTATAGTTTTTAAAATATTGAGGGTTTCATGTTTGTTATTTTAAGTTTTGAAATATATAGATATTTTGTGTAATTTTAAACTTTTAAGGGTAGTTTTGTGTAATTTTTAAAAAATTTGGGCTTTTTTTTATAATACTTCATATATTATACCATTTAATCTTAAACATATTGACCTGCAAGCTTTTCACATGGGATTAAGATATGATATAATTATGATTATAATAGATTAAATTTAAATAAAATAGTTAAGGGTAAAATTGATCATGGAAAGATTTTTTTCGAAATTGTACTTTTAAAGAGAGTATATGATGATATGATATATATCCTTTAATTTTGTATCTTTTCTTTCTATATTTTACGTTTTCTTTTCTTTTCCTAGTGAACTGCCAAACATAGAATTAATCCCAGTGGAATTCAAGCACATCGTGAGTGTTGATGGGATTAGGCGTCAACGTGTCCTGGGATTAGAGTTAGTTTTTTCCCTCAATAAATAAGGGTCTGTTTGTTTGCCTAAAAAAGTGGGAAATCAAAGAAATGGAAAACTATTTCTAAGAAGAATTGTTAGGGTCTGTTTGTTTGCCTAAAAAAGTGGGAAATCAAAGAAATGGAAAACTATTTCTAAGAAGAATTGTTTTGGGAGTGTTTGGTTTGCTAAAAAAAGAAGGAAATCAAAGAAATGGAGATAAGATGAGATGAGTAGTCACCTTATTATAGGATGATGTGAGTGGTTTTTTAAGAAACTTGTTTTGATGTTGTTTGGTTGGCGAAAAAAAATAAGTAAATGAATTATAAGAAACCTATTTCTTGTAATAGGTTGTTTTCTTTTGTTTGGTTCATTCTTAAAAATAAGAAAATAGATGATATGGGATGAGTTGTCATTATATTATTGGATGATGTGACTCACACTTAAGGAAATTGTTTTCCTAACTTTTTGGGAGGAAATGAGTGGAAATAAAATGTTAATGAGATGAGATGAGTTGTCACCATCTTATTGGATGATGTGAGTGATTTGAAATGATGAGATGAGTTGAGTTGAGTGATATTGTGGATGAAAATAATATTTTATTAGATATGATGTGAGTTGTTGGATGAAAATAATATTTTATTAGATGTGATGGATACGTTGATGGATAAAAATAATATTTTATTAGATATTGTGGGTGTGTTTTAGGGATGTAAATGGATGCAATTGTATTTTTTGAGTTTTCTTGGTATTCATTTCTATTTCTAGATTTTTTAGGAAATAACCAAACATGCCCTAAATAAAAGCCCCTAGCGCTCCTCAAGCCCTAATATTAAGGGGCTGTTTGGTTCCTTGTTTTTAAGGGAAAGACTCTCCGAAAAGCCTGTCAAAAATGTTAAAAATGTCACTTTTTGACAGGCTTTCAGTCAAAATCTTCTTTTTTAAAAACGATTTTGACTGAAAGTTTACCAAAAAGTAACACTTTTAACCTGCTTTCAAGTGAGGCTTTCTCTCAAAAAAAAGGAACCAAACAGCCCCTAAATCCCGTCTTTCTCTCAAAATTTTCGCGCCCGCGTTCACCCGTTCCCAGTCCTCTACGGTCCAAACCCTAATTTCTGCAATTCCCTCATCGCCATGGCCTCATCCAAAGGCCCACTCTCCCGCCAAATCACCGCTCGTCCGCCGTCAACGTCGCGTACCTCGGCCTTCACCGAACCTGCGGCGATCTCTTCACCGACTCCCTCCTACCCCGCCGCCTGGGAAGCCGTCTTAGCCGACGGCGCCCCTCCGGTTTTGGGATCTCAGTTCTGAAATCTTGCCTTTTTGTCTCGATTCTCGAGAATTTTCGTGTCCAGTTTTGTAAAGTCTGATCCTTTCTTTAAAACATTCCCCCCCCCCCCCCCCCCCCCCCCCCTTCCGTGAGGTGAGGTGGTGATGGATAGTGATCAAAAGGAGGGAAATTGTGCAGACTGCAGGGTACCCGATGGCAGAACAAGGGAGTAATAAGTCGAACGAAAGAGGAGGAGGAGATGGAGATAAGGTTACCTCTTGGTCTGCAGATGAGTACGGATCTCAGAGGTAAGGAAGGGTTTTGGTTGAATAATTGGTAGAATTTGCTTTTGATTGAACAATTGGTAGACTTGGTGATGTTTTGATTAGTTTTTATTTGTTGGCACTTTTGGGTATTTGTGTTAACCTTCTTGTGGTGATGGAAGCAGTGGTGGTGAGAGTGGAAGCGAAGGGTCATTGAGTACGAGAGACAAGGGGCCTGAACCTCAGGTACGCAATATAATTTGCTTGTTTCAAATAATATTTAAAAAAAAAAAGCTGTCCTTCTGATGTTATATCTGTTAATAGTTGATCTGTTGCAAAATCGGGGGCAGTTAATGGGAAAAAAACGTTTCATAACTAGTTGAGAGAAATTATAGTTATAGTTCAAAGTAGGAATATGTAGTTCAAGAATATAGTTCTATTGGGAATTTATTGGACCGTGGATTAAAAAAGCTGTCAAAACTTTGAACTGCTTTGTTCAATTGATCTTGCTGATTGCATTTGCTGCTCTGCAAATGCTTTTCTATCAAATAATAGGCTTTCATTTATACTTTGTTCAGATTTACGTATAAGGTGAGATTGAGAGTTCTAGGTGAGAATTCTAGGTTTAGTGCCAACTTACAACTGTTCGAGTTGAAAATTTTGTGTCAAATAGTTGTGGTTACCTTTTTCTTTCTTTCTTTACCTATATGAAGCAGGCAGATAAGTTTCGAGTTCCTCGGCGTTATTTGTTGTTTGTTATGACCCATATGAAAGAGTGGTTTAGTGATTTTGCTCATGTTGCATGTGCCTTTTTTTAATCTAGGACGCAGCTGGAAAAAGATCTGTTGAGGGTACATTTCTTACTGGAAGTTTCTGGATCCTTGTGTTCTTATGAACAATTCCAACAATTCCATAATCATGAGTTTTTGCTTGGTTTGTTCAGGAGAAACTTCACAGGTTCCTCCTCCCCAGAACAGCGCCGCAGCTACTGAATCGTCTTACAGTGTTAGACAAAGAACTGTGTCAAAACTTCCCGTTTCAGCACCAGGACGAGCAACAGCACCTAGTCCTGCATTTAATTTGAATGTTGGGATGGAGATATGGAATGCTTCTTATGTTGGAACTGCACCTAAGGTCAAACCAAATTTGGCAAATGTGGCATCAGGAACTGTTGGAGCTAATAGAGTTGGGATCGAACACCACCGGATACAGGTAGCCAGCACATTACCCTGTAATGTATATATTATTCTATGTCTTTTCCTTTTTCACAAATATGGCCTATTGTAACACCTCATATGGTTTTCCATGGCTATGTGTGTTGTCCTGTTAATATTCAGCTTGTGTACTTGTCAGGATGAGCGAGAGATGAAGAGAGAACGAAGGACACAATCTAATAGGGAGTCAGCAAGGAGATCAAGATTGCGCAAGCAGGTATGCTCTTCTCCTCCTTTTTTTCTTGAAGATATTTAAGTTAATTGTGCACTCTAGTTTTTCTAGGACACATATTTTAGCCGTTTAGTCCCTTAATTTTTTCCCTATTTGATCAAAAGCATATCGTTCACTTTATCAGGTAAAAAAGAGTCAAATGTTCAATCCTTCATCTGTTTAGTTAGCTTAATGGTGGGACCAAACAACATGTACTAAGATATTCAAAAAAATTATTGAGGTTAGAGACATCAGTTGCTAGTTCTTAAATGTAATTCTTTATAAAAGAAAAACTTCTTAACTTTGATATTTTTAAACATTATTTCATTTTGCATAATGGTAGTGGGCCGATATTTAGATTTGGACAAATCAAGCTTATCCCAGCTTCTTACTTTTATTGATAATTTCACGGAATATGATCGATTTTGTTTCTTTTCTCGCCAGCAAGAATGTGAAGACCTAGCCAGGGAGGTGAATGAACTAAATAGTGAGAATAGTGCACTCAAGGTTGAGCTTGAACAACTTAAGAAAGGTTGTGAAGACCTTAAAGCAGCGAAGGCAGCAACTACGGTCAGCTGTTTGTCATTTTACCAATTCAGCTGTTTGCATTTAACCATTACTTTATATTATAGTATTATATATATATATATAATATATTAATATATATAATAATATATATTATATATATATATATATATATATATATATGAGATTAATGGTATCCTTGTCATAGGAGGAGATTTCCCTCTTGTCGCCTATGTGGTATAATTCTCCACCATCCTCATAAAGTAGCATAAATCCCCACCAACTCACACTCTCTCTCCTACTTTATGAGGATGGTGAGATTGTGCCACATAGGCGTCAAGGAGGAAATCCCCTCCTATGACAAGGATACCCATTAATCTCTCTCTCTCTCTCTACTATTATATATATATATATATATATATATATATATATATATATATATATATATTATATATATATATATATATATATATGCGCTTTAGTAATTTTTTGTCTTATTTTTTACACATTTACTAGTAATGATGCGTGTGAATGATGCTGGCACTTGATGGGAATGTACCACTTTAGGAAACCGTGTTGAATGTAATAATGCCAAAATCATATAGAGCAGTTTGCTACGGTGCCATGTTAACTGTAGTATTCAAGTATTGATGTATGGATAAACCATAGGAATTTATGAATTGCTGTTACTAAAAGCATTTTGATGATTTGAAAGCTTCATTGTTCTTTATCATTTTAAATGGAGGATAGACAAATCTTAGACAATATAACAATTCAACTATTCTTGGCATCCCCTGCAAAGATAGTTATTGATGCTAAGTATATATAGTAACAAATTTGATAGTTTTTTTTTTTCTTTTTTCGAAAGAATCTTCTATTCGATCATAGTTGATGTTGTTTATTCAAGGGAGCTATTAGTTGCTAACTTACCATATATATTGATCTTTGTCTTATTCCCTTCCCCTTCCCGGCGTGGACACACAACACACACATACACGCACACACACGTGCACATATGACTACCACTTATGCTTTGTATATGGCTTCATATCAGTTATCCCAAGAAACAACTTTCCGGGAGGTCACAGATCTTGAAACTGCTTTGTCTCCATAATTCATCCATCAGAAATGTCAGGTATGATAATATGGAGTTTATAGAAATTATTTATATGAGAGTTTTTGTAGTACATATTCCATCTGGGACTACTTGCTTGGAGCATTACATGCCACAACCATCTAGCGTATGTCATTCTCGCCTTACTAACTCTTCTTTAGGTAATGTTGGATTATAGAAGTGGTCCCATGGAGCCACGCTGTTGAATTCTGGAGGTAATCTCATGTCTTCCAGAAGTGGGTCCCATGAATTCATTACATGACTCAACTTTGGAGACTTCTCAGGTGCTGGTGGAGGATAATGCGGGGATCTCAAAACATTTACAATTATCTCTAGCCAGTCATCTTCTCCTCTAGCTAGTCATCTTTGCCTATTAGTATGTGTGACTTGGGTTAATTGGTGAAAAAGCCTTGGGCATTAGGAATTTGGAGGTAACTTTTTGTTGAGGAAGAGGTGACACTATCTTCTTCTGTTCCCTTTGAATGCTCCAACCCTTGATAGACTTAAAATCCGAACTTTTCTAGTGATTGGAGAGGTGGTGGAAGTTATTTTGAGCTTGTTCTAAGTAAGGCATCAGCAGATAGATGAGTTGTCTAGATTTAGTTTATGCTCTGATTTCTTTTATTCCTAGAGTAGAAGGAACTATTTCTGTTTCTCGTTTTAAGCCTATTAGTCTGTTTAATTGTGAATTCAAGACTGGCCAGAGTGCTAGCTAAGGGGCTGTTTTGATTCATGGATTATATTTAGATGCATACTATGGATTTAGAAGAATCCAATTGTTAAAATCCAACCAAATTTTGTTTGGTTACACATCCATTCTGGTTAGGATATTATGACTAAGATTACAAATTTGGGGGAAATCAACATAATTTTAGGAAATCACATTAGATGCTTCTATCCTATGTGGCAACTCCAAATTCGTGTCAATATAATTGACAATGTATTTGATAAAAATCTAGAATTTTAAGCTTGTGGTTTCCATTTTTCAATACAAAACCCATCAAATGAAAGGGAACAAATAGCCCCCAATTGTTAAATAATTAGATGAATATTTTGGTGGACAGTTCTCAAAAAAAATCCCCATTAAGGGACTGTTTGTTTGGTTTCTTGAAAACCAAAGGGGAAAAAAAACAAGGGGAGGAACTCACTTATGATGATTTCCACCCATGTCCTCAACAAAACCCATGAAATGGGTTTCCTAAAGTTTGGGTCACATCACCCAATAAGAATGCCCCCCATTACCTCTTTTCTTGATTTGAAGGTGGAACCAAATAAAGGAAAAGGAACAATTATAACTTATGAGAAATAAGTTTCCTATAATCGTTTTCCTTGATTTTTTTTGGCCAACAAAATGGCCCCCAAGGGAAAATCAACTTTTGATTGTGTTCTAGGGACTCAGAAAGTAAGTGGCAGTGGTTTTGAAAATTGATTTCGTGAAAACTTAATGATATGTTTGATTGGAGTCTTCAGAAAAACTACATGCTAGCTACTGGTTCAATGTAGTTAAAGGAGAATCAGAGATCTTATTCTTTGTAGAGGAGTTATGAACTTGGAGACCTCTGATTTCCATACCTGTTTGTTATTGTTGCTGGTGTTCTTTCTAGAATGTCAAGAAGGGCAAACTGCTTCTTTATTGGAAGATTTAGGAGGTTCTCATAGCAAAAGAGGAGTATAAACCTTCAATGTACTGCTGATATATATTTTTCAGTTATCATTCACTTAAGTCCTGTTTGTTAACATGGAGCTAACTGTGAAGTAGCTGAAATAAATGAAGTAGAGGCTACTTCTACTAATTCTGAGCAAAAAACATATTTGTTTAGAAAAACCTACTTCTGGTACTTCCTTGAACGCCTATGTGCGCTCAGAAGTAGGTAGAATGTAATATGAATTAGGAAAGAAATACTTTTTCTTCTTTACATTTTCTTTATTAGTTACTTCCTAACAACTTTTCATTGCTATCCAAACTTAATAAGGAAATGAAATAAAAAAAAGTACTACTTCCAATACTTCAAAAAAATATGCATGCAATAAACAAAAAAAATGTATGACTTCCACAGTTCCACTGCTTCCTATTTCATAATTTTATAAGTTACATTATTTATTTATTTTCTACTTCCGGTACTTGTGTCAAACCAAATGGGTCCTTAGCCCAATTATGGTAATTGCTGTTTTTAGTGCTTTCAAGAGGAGACCAACTACTAACTGATGTTATACTGCAACAGGAAGTGCTGGATTGCTGGGCTAAAAGCTTCACCTGGAACTCATCACACATAGCGGCAGCAGCATCAGCAGCAGAAGCAGTAGTAGCTTTCTGCAATGGTCTGAAGGGATCAAATAGACAAGATTAGTTCCAGCGGCAAATTTAAATCAGTTAACTGGTGAAATTTAAACCTGGTACATTTATCGTCATCCCACTAATATCATCATCCCACTAACTCGGAATTATTAGCTGGTAGCGTCTCATGAATTGGTCTGCTAAGTTGCTCCTCCGCACATACATTGTATAATATCTTATATAAGTCTGTATGTTTTAGAGAGATTTGATCTTTTTTTTCAGTTTAGGTCGCAAGGCCCCTTGCAAAAAGCCTGCTGGGAGAGGCTGTGTATGATGTTGCACTAAATTTTTTTATTTAAGTTATACAGATTAGGAGTCCTTCTGTTACCGATATACTTTTGTAATCCTGAAAAAAGAGATGAAAGCTAATTTAACGTACGTTATCCTGACTGAATGTTGACCAAATTTCTTGAGCCCTGCGATGTTGCGATACTTATCTCTCTGTACAAGGCGAAGTTGTTTCCTTTTTTTTTAACGGTTTGGTGTGGTTACTGATCTTAGCTTATTTTGACGTTTACGATCAGCTTGCTGCTCCCTGAAGGTATAGGTTAAGTAAAAGATTGGTTATATTATTATCTTCTAATGGAGAAAATGGGAGTTAAATAAGCAAATAACTAATCATATCCCAGGTGGATATCCACGTGTTTCTTTTAATATATATATATATATATATATATTAACAGGGGATCTCTGACGATGCAAGCAGCCTTCTAGTTTAAGCTCATCCAGCAGCTCTTTATGTCGGGAGAAGAAGAAGAAGAGGAAAAAAAAATTTTGTGAGCGCGTGTGTGTGAGGTGGGTTCAGTTTAATCATATTAGAGCCGTAGCTCTGTCATTATGATTCAGAAGTATTTGCGGACGATTCAAGTCGATTTAGCAAAATTTCAAGTTTTCATGACGGCCAACCCCCACCCACCGAGGGGTGAGCTCAGGCGGTTGAGAGTAATCAAGCGGCGCCTTACATCAAAGTTTCCCCCTTGTGGAACTTGTTGTAATTTGGATTATCAAAAGAAAAGAATTCCTAAGTAATTAGTAAATCGCGCGAGATCTGAACTTGACAGGGCAAAAAAAAAGCTGCGAGAGTTTCTGAACCGCGTCTGGAATATATACTCTCAGGTGTCGTGTGATAGCACTCCTGCTATCGTTGTCATCGACCCGTCAATGTTTGCTTGTGCGAAGATGGTAGTGGATTTTACTTGTTGCTCGCTTGAGAACACAAGGCCGCGGCATCAGCAATTTAGAAATCAAACGCCGCCGCATATACACGCCAACTTCAAGATGCAGAAATTGAAAACTCGACTGAAATCTTAGTATCAATGGTTTATTTGTTTTTCCTTTATTATTATTATTATTTTTGAGAAAACCTTGGTACCGATACTTCACCAAGATTCGTTAGACACGCGCCCAATATGAGAAGAATGAAAAGTTGCATGAAACCTATGAGATGCTAATTAATGCTCATCACACTAGCTAATTCGCCCGATGTTGTGACAGCAAACCCGCAAACAAGAATTCATCGATGTGCTCACCTTAATTAATCTGAGGAGCTACTGCTATTTGTACTGATATATATAATCAGTGAGTGATCAAAGCTAGCTGCCATACGTCCGGAGTACTATTAAGAGCCACTTAAACTAATTAATTAAACGAGAGAGAAAAGAGAGACCAAAAAAACTTCTCTCGAGCTTCAGCAACTGGAGCGGGAGACGCGCGCGTCTTTTTTGGTTCCAGGCCCTGCGCGCACTTACACTTGAATTAATGTTCGCTTTAACCAATTTATGTACCATGCAGTTATCATACGCATAGCTTAAGGTAATTACAACTTAGGAGGATAACTTCAATTGCACAAGTTTATGTTCTAGATTTAAAGGGATCAAATAGAAAAAAAAAAGGAAAAATTGCTTCAAGGCCCCAAAATTGAAAATACAATGTGGCCTAGCCCCCTGTACTTTGGCCCATGTGGCTAAGCCCTTAAATATTCAAAAAAATATAACTGAGCCCTAAAAGCAGTTCTCTCACCCGTATTTGCACCCAGCCTCCCTAAAATACCCCCGCCTTCAACTCCGTGCCTCGAAAACGAGATCCGATCGCTGGCGAAACCTCTCCGTCGCATTTAAGGCGAGATGATGGCCGTTTTGGGGGGAAATTTTGGCGCGCTCCCTCCGTTATATATCCTGTTAACCCACTCGACTTTGAAGAGAGTGTATTTATGGTGCAAACGTCAGATCTTTGCGGTTAGGGCTTATGATCTTCAGCCCCCTACTTGTCCTAAAGTGCCCTTCATAACTCCTCTTAAATCCCCTTCATTTATGGCGGAGAGCCCCCTTATTTGCATGGTTTCCTTGGGTGAGAGAGCAGTGTTCTCAAGGGTAACTTGTGCAACCACTTTTTTTGAGTTTAAGTTCGACGTGGCTGAGAGGTTGAAGGTTCCTTATGATGCGCTATCAATGGTTTATAAATCTGAAAGGATCCCTGATCTGAGTTTTGAGATCGAGAATGAGGATGATATGGAGTGTATGGTGGAGCACAACCGTAATATCGGGTGTTTGGAGATCCATATTCGAGCTACTATAGATGTAGATGTTTCCAGATGTGAGAACACCCCGAAGCAACCTCCTGAAATGTAAGTTATATTTACACTTAATTTATTTGAAAAATTATGAATTGCGTGAGTAAAATGTGAAGAAATGATAACATAGCGAATTGTTTCAGGTTAAATGTTAGCTTTTAACTGATATGTGTTAACTTTCTATCGAAGGTTGTTAAGCTTTAGGGCATATGTGTTAACTCTTAAGGGTACTGCATTATTTAAGTACAAGTCCTATTCGTTATTTTAAGAAAAACCAATTATATTTGTGCAGCATTATGAATACACTGAAGCCAAAGTTTATTGATAGTACTTCTGCCGCAAACCATGGTTCTGAAAGAATTCCAATTGATAATCCCAGTGGTAGCAGTGTAGTGCGTTCTGATGACATTATTAACAACACAGTAATGATTCCTGGTTGGTGGCATAATGCATTAACTGAAGAGGGTCAAGAATTTGAAAGTGCTGAAGAATTAAGGTTGGCGCTGACATACTATTCTCTGGCCAAAATGTTTGATTATGAGTTTAAAAAGAACGAACCAAAACGTATCCGTGTATATTGCCGATATAAAGAAACTTACGAGTGCCCATGGATGTTGTTTGCTTCACCTGTTAAGAATGAAAATAGACTATCGATCAAGAAGTTTGTTAATGAACATACTTGTGGGCAGTACGGACAAAATACAGGTCGTTCAAGGGCATCCCGTAAATTCATTGCAACACAGTTACAACCACTCCTGAAGGTCCGTCCAGAAATCCGACCCGTTGATGTGCAAAAGGAGTTCCTCACAAACTACGGCCTTAGAATTGATTACAGTAAGATATGGTGGGGGAAAGAGAGAGCACAGGAGAAGCTTTACGGGGTTATATATGAGTCGTATGATCAACTACGATGGTAAATGCTGAACTTTATTATTAACTTGTTAAGTTTTAAAGTTTGCTTGTTAAAACAAATAGTTAACATGTTCCTTGTTAAGTTCATTGATAACATTGATAACATGTTAAGTTTCACCACTAACACGTTAACTTTCTCTGTTACATTGTTAAGTTACGCTGATAATTTGTTAACTTTTGTTAAGTTACCCCAATAATGTGTTAGCTTTTTTTGGTCGCTTGTTAAGCTACACGGATAACATGTTAACTTGTTGGTTTGTTTCTTCTTACACGACTAGGTATGAGCGCATGGTAAAAGAGACAAATCCCGGCAGTTACATACATGTTGACCAGAATGAGGGGAGGTTTTCGAGACTCTTTGTTTGTTATGCTGCATGCATCAAAGGTTTCTTGAGTGGATGCAGACCCCTTCTATTTTTGGACGGTACATTTTTGAAGGATCGATATAAAGGCATTCTCCTCTTGGCCATAGCATATGATGGCAACCAAGGTATATTTCCCTTAGCGTATTGCATATGTGATCAAGAGAATTTGATGAATTGGAAGTGGTTCCTCCAAGGTCTATGGTCCATACTTTATGAGAGGGCTGACCCTTACAATCCTCCCCACCAATTGGTTATAATTTCTGATGCGGACAAAGGAATTAAAGAATCAGTAAAAGAGTATTTTCCAGAAGCTCTACACTCGAGGTGTGTTCTACATCTTGTTGAAAATTTCAGGTTAAAGCTTAAGGACTTGGGTATAAAGTCGAAGGACACTCATGTTCTGGGGAACTTACTCCAAAGTGCTTGTTATAAATACACAATAGCAGAATGGAATGAGTACATGAAAGAGATATATGACATGGATCCAAGGGCATACAACATTGCTATGAACTACTCTCCTGATCAATGGGCAAATGCATTCTTCCCGGGAATAAGGTAACGTTATTTGGCTGTTCTATATCTATGCTAATGTATGAACTTATGCTATTAAGCATGTTATCTTTGAATTTGTTAAATTCTATATCAGAGTTGTTAACTATATCAGAGTTGATAACATGTTAAGTCTTGTTGATAATATGTTGAGTCTTGTTGCTAACATGTTAACTCTTGTGGATAACGTACTAACTCTTGTTGATAACATGTTAACTCTTGTTGATAACATGTTAACTTTTGTGGAAAACATGTTAACTGTTAAATGTTAACTATTATATGTAAACATGTTAACTGTAATTCAAAAAAAAAATAACTCTATTCAATTATTTGTGTCATCCCTTATTTATAACCTGTTAACTCTTATCTGTAAACTGTTACCTGTAATTCATATTATGTTAACCCTATTCAATTATTTGTTAACCTTTATTTGTGACCTGTTATAAAGTTATATATAATTTCAGGTATGGGCACGTAACATCTAATGTCGCTGAGTCTTTTAATAATTGGATAAGGGAAGCTAGAATGCTACGGATTCTACAAATGGTTGAGCATATCCGTAAACAGATAATGGTCCAAATGAGTAATCGCCGGTTACTTGCAGATAAATGGGTTGGATATCTCTGTCCACAAGCAGAGATGATGCTTAAAGAAAATATAGAGAAAGGTCGTCCATTGGATGTTAAGCAAGCTGCAGCTGACATATTTGAAGTGCAAGCACATAAAACTACCCATGTTGATTTGGAGAAGAAGACATGCACTTGTCGTGCTTGGGACGTCATGCGGATTCCGTGTAAACATGCATGTGCAGTCATCTCGTACATGAAGAGAGACATTTACCAATATTACGATTTGTTTATGTCCATAGAAGCATTTAAAAAGAGCTATGACCCGATTCTCTATCCTATACCAGATTATGAGAAATGAAGCGTGCCAAGGGATGAGATCGAGCTACTTCCACCACATACTATCAAAAGAAAGGGGAGAAATAAAA